GATTGGCCGGTAGTCAGACAGAAAGTAAAGGTTGGGCAATGAGAATAGGGGGATGCTGGGAAGGAGGAAGCCCATTCCTCCCAGTCCTGCCCAGATCACCGAAGAAGCAGGATGTGACCTGCCCCACTGAAAAGGTACTGAGCCATGTGGCTAACATAGATAAGAATAATGGGTTAATATAAGCTACAAGAGCTAGTAAGAAGCCTGAGCTAATGGGCCAATCAGTTTATAAGTTATGGATACCTCTGTGTGATTTTCTTTGGGACTTGCCGGCTGTGGAAACTGGGCAGGACAGAAACCCCAGCAAGCCTGCTCCTCCTGTTACAGACATTGTCATGTCTTCCAGGATGACAATGGACTAAACCTCTAAAACTGTAAGTCATTCAATTCCTTTATAAGAGTTGTTATGGTCATGGTGTCTTTTCACATCAATAGAAACTCTAACTAAGACAATCACATTCTCAAACTGGAAACATGAATGCCTCTTACCTGTCTTCAGTAACACTCATCCTATAATGTACAATAAGGATAGACAGACAGACTGAAAGCAGTGAGGACACAGAGATGAATGTGCCACAGTCCCAGGATTCCACTGTCAGAGAGCTTACAAGTCACCCAGGAAGAAAGAATTGAATAAAAGGTCTCCATGATAGCCCTGCTGAAGAAAAAGGACACAAGGAGCTGTGGAAGGGTGCTTATATGTGGTCAGACTGCCCCCACATCCAGGGACATATGGATATACCACAAATGTTGATTTTCCAAGTTAATTTACATTTTTGTTTATTTATATAGAATTTGAATTACAAAGGTAAAGAGAGACAAGTTTAAATATTATTTTCATTTTTCCATATTTGTTTTAAATTATAAAATATATAAATGTGTTTGAATTTAAAGTCACAAATTCACATGTGCAAAAAGGAAAGAAAGAAGAGGGAAAGGAAGGAAGGAAAGAGGAAGAAAGGAATAAATAAATAAATAGATAAATACATTAACAAACAACAAAAACCCTTACATGGAGCAGGGTGTGCTAGCCCATGCTATTTGGAAAGCAGAGGCAGGAGGATCAGTTCAAGGACCTTCTCAGCTTATTTTTGAGTTTGATATCAGCCTGGGCGACATTAAACCCTGTCTTTAAAACAACAAAAAGTCAGGTGGTAGTGGTGCATGCCTTTAATCCCAGCACTCAGGAGGCAGGTGTATTTCTGAGTTCGAGGCCAGCCTCATCTACAGAGTGAGTTCCAAGACAGCCAGTACTGTTACATAGAGAAACCCTGACTGAAAATTTTTTTTTAAAAAAGCAGAAAACAAAAACAAATCAGAACAACTCCCCCCACCAAAACCCAAAAAAGAAAAAAAAAAGCAAAAAAACAAAAAACAAAACCAAAAAAGTACAACCACAGAGAGACTGAGCAGATAGCTCAATTTTCAAATGTGGTTGTTCAAGCTTTTGATCACATGAGGTTTTGTTTAATCACTAGCACCTATGTAAAAGTCAGCCCTGACTGTGATGGGTACCTATAATCTTTGGGCTTGGGGGGAAGAGACAGGAAGACCCCTGGGGCTTGCTGACCAACCAGCCTAGCTGAATCACAGAGCCCCAGAAACAGTAAGAAACTCTGTGTTTAAAAATAAAGCTGAGTTGATTTATGCCTAATTAGAGCCTTCATCTCTGCTTACTAGTGTTCATGGTACTGGAAAGTACTCTGTCTGCATGCTGCTGGAGGAGAAAGGTAAACCCCAACCCAGCTTCAAACCCTGTCATCTACAGCAGCGACTTGTTTACTTGATAGGCTGATGCAATAGTGGCACAACTGTTGTAGGAGTAACAAACCACTCTCTGATTGCATTTAAGGCCTACTCCATGAGATGGAGCCCATGCCCAATACTGTTTGATGGGCCAAGAACTTGAGACTAGAAAAGCTGGGAACCTAGGGGAAAACAAATACTCTTTCTTTTCTTAAAGGAATGTAGCAAAATGATTGCTAATGACATTCTGCTACACCCATAGGTCATTGCCTCACTCAACTATCACTAGAGAAGCTTCCTCCTGTAATAGATGGGAACTAATAGAGACCTACAACTGAACACTGTGCAGAGGGTGACAGAAAGGTCTTGGAACATTCAGTCTTAAACATCCCATTCAGGGATGTTCCCCTCAAATCCCTCTCCTCTGGATCAGAGAACTCTTCAGAGAAAAAAAAGGCCAAAAGATTCTAAGAGTCTTTAGAGCAGGTAGACAACACCAAGAAAACAAATAAGGCCTTCTAGACACAGCAGGACTGATGTACATATGAACTCACAGAGACTACAGTATGTGCAGGGCCTACAGAGATCCAAGCCAGATGGGGTCCCAGCACTGAGAGCGAGAAGTGGACCTGCGTTGGCATCTCTAACCAGAAACTATTTGTCATTGACAATCACTTGCAAAGGGAAACACTGATTTTCTCCAAAGGTATTGCTCCCTGCTCACTGGGTATGCAGTTCACATTTAAGGGCAGGAACCATACCCTACAATAGAAGGCCAACACAAAACGAACTCAGTGATATTTCTAGAGACTTATTTGTCTCCTACTGCTTTCTTTGGGCATTTTTTTAAAATCTTATTGGTCTTTTGCTTGTATCCTATGGTTTCTGACTTTGTGGTGTTTTGTGTCTGTGTGTGTGTTCTTATCCTCTTTTGTCTTCTTTTCTTTTTTGGTCTGTTTTCCAAATAGAGTGAAAGAAGGCATGGAGTTTGGTTAGTGAGGAGGTGGGGGGAATTTGGGAGAAGAAGAGGGAATCGGAATACACTATATGAAAAATTTATTTTCAAAACAAATTCAAAGGAAAAAGCAAAAACAAAAATGAAAATAAGAGGGAGACACTGGATATCCTCCTCCGATTTTCACACATACACACACACACACACACACACACACACACACGCACACCTGTACACATGTACATGCACACACATGCGCACGTGCACGCGCGCGCGCACACACACACACATACACACACATGGAAAACAACAATGATGCCAAACCATCAACTGAGTATGCAGTAGAGCTAGTTAGAGGGAAGATCTGTGAAAATAACAGTACTTGGGTCATTGTGAGGTAGGCAGGGCCTACGGGGGGCAAAAAATCACAAAGTAGGGTCACAGGCCCTCAGAAAAGGTCAGAGCCATTCGTGTGACAGCTGCCACAAGGACTCACACTGCCCACCACCCTCCTTGATGTTTGCTTCAGGTCCAGTCTTCCCTACAGCCACCAGCAGATCAGGACCTCAGGCACAAAAGTTTCCACAGGATAAATCAGGAGCAGTCCCCTCACTAACAGGACCCTGAGCGTCTCAGTTACGATTTCTACCCAAAGAGCTGATGCTTGGTTAAATTCCACCATCTGGGACCCCCACCCTCAATGGAAGCTGAATTTTCTTTTCAAAATGGCAAGCGCTTCTGAGGGCAAGTCACCCAACACTCATTGATTTGAGTCATGAAGGGTTTGCTCCCTGCTAGCAAGCTACCTTTTGGTGGTCTGCTTGTTTGTTTTAAGACGTGTCTCATTATAGCTTAAGGTCAAGTTCATTATTCAAATTTGTTATATAGCTGAGAATGAACTTGAACTTTTGGTCGTCCTGAGTGCCGGGGGTACAGGTATGCATCATCAGGCTTGTTTTCTATGGGATCCAGGGATCAAACCCAGGGCTTAGCTCATGTACGGCAATTGCTCTATCAATGAAGGTCGCAAGGCTCATCTAAAAGGCCGTTCTGTTCTAGTAATGTGAACCAAAAAGAGCAGCCTAGTCTAGTTTCGGCTCTCTCCAGGTAGCACTTCTCAGCATGTCGCCAGTAAACTGTAAAAGTAGGATCAGTCCCTTGTCTAGATGCCATTTAATGCTATAACTATATGGAGAATGTTTGTGCATATAGTTTTGACTTCTCTGTCCACTGTCGGAAAGCATTTTCTTTGGAGTGAGATTCTTATCTCAAGAAGCAAACAGAAAACTGAAATTTGTAAGTGAGAAGTGGAGAAGAGATCACACACACACAAAAAACCCTTGCAAAACAAAGAGCATGCACTTGTCCATGGGGCAATCACCTGTATGCTCTTCCTATAATGGGTATATACCATTCTGCCCAGCATCCCAGTGCCTGACCAGGGAGTAGCTGCTCCTGGGTTGTACTATAGAGAAAACAGCCCACTCAGAGTGCTTCTAACTGATGAGGGCAGGAAGCCTCTTTAGAGGCTATGCCCTTAGAGGATGGTGCTATGCAGATTCTGCTATTGTTATTCTTTTACCTCAAATTTATAATTGACTTTCTGTTAAACATTGCAGCAAGTTAAATTAATTCAGTATGATTACAGCCGTTAAACAAATGCCCGGTAATGACTGCTTTCTTATTTTAGCAGGTTCCTCAAACCCCCGGGGAAATACCATATAAAGCTTTTTGCTCCGTTGTCACATTAACTCACACCCAAGTTTCACAACAGAGAGCATGTACCCTACTTCATAGTGATGGCCATGACTTAGGGTTTCTGCTGGACTAATTTACTTAGAGTTATCTCGATTGCATGTTGTACCAAGTACAATTTACGAATTCATCATTGCACACATGTTAGAAATTCACAATTTCTACCTGAATTAAGGAGAGGAGGGAAGGGAAAGGAAGGAAGGGGGAGGAGGGGAAGGAAGAAGAGTGTTTAAAACCAAAACATGAGCAAGAATTCTTCCATAGACACTTCAAGGAATTTAAGCAGCTTGGGCAGTGATGGTTTTTAGTCCATTTCTGCATGCAACAGTCAGTTCAAGAATGATCTGTCAACTCAGCAAGCAGGACGCAAACAATTCATTCAGTCTCGAGTTAAAACGGAAGCCACGAAAATGTATCCAAGAAAGGACTGCCAGGTAGACAGGCGTAGCCTGCAGTCCTGCAACCACCGTTAGCGTCCTGGGTCATTTGCCTGGTGCCACCTTAGGAACTGTCCTGATTCTGTACAGGACATTGAACGATAACAGCCCACAGGTCAGCTGACTGCTGTGTCATACGGCATTCCTGCAGATGCCAGCTCCTGCTCCTGCGGATTGCCAGGCGAGACGCGGCAAAGCAGAGGCAGACAGCTAGGCACCAAAGCAGCCGAGTTTTAAACTTTGATTTTCCTGTTGCTGCTTAGAGCCTCACACATGAAGAGCATTACCTTTGTGTAGCCAGGAGCCGAGATGCAGTCTGAATGGGCACGGTGGCTTCTGATGTGGCAGCATGAATTCTCAGCTGGGCAGGTACTGCTCGGAGCTTGCTACCCAAACGGTCTCTGGTGGAGCTCAGCTGCTTTTCCACCTCGGATGTGGGGCGGGGGTGGGGGGTGGGGGTTGCTTCTTGTGCCATGCTGTTGTATCTGCAGGAGACAATGCTTGGCATGATTTGTCTGACTCAGGCCTGGGTAACTCACCACACTGGCACTGTGGGACGCCCCAGCTCCCATTTAAGGCTGGTCACGGGACTAGCGTAACCCCCCCCTCCACAGTTAAATCATGCTTTAAAGGAGAAACCAGACTCATTGGCCTAACACAATCCCAGTTCTTTCTGGATGCAGGACTGCTGTTGCCTACCAGGGACACAACCAGCCATCAAGTGGAGAATGGCTGGGACTGCTGTCTGTGTGCAGGGGAAGCCTGGAAGAGTGGCAGTCTCGTTTCCGTCATCTGATGACTTACGTTCCTAACTAATTGTGCTTGCTAAGCACACAGTGGTCTGAATTAGTCTCTCTGCCATGCAGCCCCCATCAAGCTGGGATGCAAATCAGGGTGCCAGGAAGCCTACATTAGTCTGGGCTCCCTCCCGCGTAGTGCTATGCTAGCTACTAGGATGGGTCACTCTGACGACAAAGAAAGGTGCTTGACTTCTCTTGGGAGGCGTGGAATAACATAATTCTTGTTTGAATTGATCTGTCTCTTTGTCTTTCTCTCTCCCCCCTCTCTCTCTCTCGTGTGTGTGTGTGTGTGTGTGTGTGTGTGTGTGTGTGTGTGTAAAATTCATCAAATCAAAGAACCTAAGAGATATCACTGTGGACGTGGTTTTTAATGATTTGGGTGGGGAGAGAAAGAAAAAGAAAAATGACAGCCTGTGGAGACAGCGATTTGAGAAAGCAGCACACTGAGGTTATTGCCAATTTGAAACACTGGGTTTGTGAATCCAAGCCCTAAGGGAGTAGCTGGGTAACTGAGGAAGAGATCGTAGATAAAGAAATAAAAATGACAAGCGTAATGGAGGCTCCGTGAAGGGGCTGTCGGAGCGTCAGTTCACGGATGGCAATCTCGCCAAGCAGAGACTGAATAATTCATAGACAGAAACTACCCTGCCTTCACCTTCCCATTTAAACCAGGCATGAGCTGAATCCCTAATAAATTTCCAAGATAAAGTAAAATGCCAATTTGAATCTGAAGAGCTGTTAAAAGCAGATGTCGCATCCCCGAGTCTTTTGGTGTCTTTTCACAGGGATGCTCTGAGGACGGCACTTCATCAGGAAGCACCATCACCGGGGAGAATGACTGTGATTACTATAGCAACAATAGAACGCCGTCGGATGGTCTCTAATTTACCTAATTTGCTAAGACTGACTGGCTTAAACACCCATTGTGTGTTGCCATGCCCGGTCCGCAGATCTATCTCGAGACAGAACAAAAGTGGTGTGGTGTGTGAGCTACCTTGATTCGCACAGCCTAGGGAAGAGCATTTTTCTAAGTTACAATGTCTCTGTCATCTGCTTTTCTTTCTTTCTTTGCCTTTTTTTTTCCCTCTAATGGTGAGCCCTAAGTGCTTTTTGAGGAGAAATGGCGAGCCTGTCTTTGCTACAAAACAGCACTGACTTGCTAATTTATACACTTTTTAAAAAATTTAAAATATACAAGCATGTGTCTATTTGAGGGGACGAGAGATTCAGTGGAGAAAGGTTTAACAAGCCAACTGGGATGATGTGTGTGTGTGTGTGTGCGTGTGTGTGTGCGTGCACACGTGCATATGCTCCTGCATGTGCATGTCTCTTTCTCTCTCTCTCTCTCTCTCTCTCTCTCTCTCTCTCTCTCTCTCTCTGTGTGTGTG